TTATGAAAGTTGCCACGAGATGGCGCGTACGTTTAAGTGCCTTAAGATTAAAGATGGAAGCTCCCATCGTACGTAGAACAGCAACAACTATTTGCAAGACAGAATAGGTAAGCACTCATCCATTTACCTACGCAAGCCTACAGGTTGAAATAGAGAGCTGCCACCTGCAACTAATTAACGCAGGCAAAAACTACACAGTAATATCACCACCACATGCACTGGCAGTGGCATACGTTACATGTAACACACTGACAGTACAGAATGCTATAGAAATTATACGATTTAAGGAGCATAAACCTTCTCCAAACAAATTTAGCTTTTGAAATTTCACTGTGACATTGTAGCCAGCCTCATACATCCAGGCATTTATAGATTCTACTAGCAAACCCGGCAGTCAAATTCTTTCTAACAGTAAACAAATCCATGTTTAACTTTCCACTTGAGGGTCAAAAGGTTATCCGACACTTACTCTTCGCATGTCAGCATCAAAGCCATAAAAATGCTAGGTCACCGCTGAAGCAAAAAAAGTTTTTCAATCGCTCAGTCAGACCATGTCCTGAGAAAATGTTTAAAATCTGCCCTGTGCCCCATTGACCTTTGACCTGTGGCCTCCAATTTCGGCACAGTGATAGCTTTTCCTACCAGGATACTATACACCGACTATCACGAGCCTAGGTCGAGCCATTTAGATTTGTGCCGCAATTCTGCATTTCCTCCCTATACCTTAAGTTAAAGCGTCTATTGCAAGAATTTTCCATTGTTTTCCCCACTTTCATGATAACTACCGTTATTGCTTGAGTAACAATAATTGTCTAGAGTAACGATAAAATGTCTTAGAACCTTCGTATTCATCTTTTCATAATTCGTTCGCATTTTTACCTCATCTGGCATAGTCAGATGCAGCTTGTAGAATCGCATGAGCGTGCGTCCGTGCGTGCGTCCGTCCGGCCGGCCGTGCGTCAATAAAAATGCAGTTTCCCAGTTTTTATGTTTCTATTTTCCTATTTTTTCCCAGTTTTTGAATTATTTAACTTCTGTCGCATGACCAGCCTTATCATGCTGACTGGAATGGTTGGAAAAATGTTCACAACGTAGTCTGAAAAGAGAAAAAAATAATCATTTTAAGTTGCTGGACCTAGAGATTGTTTTTCATAATATTAAGGTTCTGCTGTAAAACTACGTGCTACCATATCTGGCCTGCAGGTTCATAGGGGATTTCCAATACTCTTACAAAATTGACTGATGCGAGAGCTAGGTTTTCTTATGCAAAATATCATTTTAGCACTGTACTGAGTACTTGAATTTAATTACCTATTATTGCCTGCAGCTTCACCTGGTCTAAGGATGGTTTCTCACAATTTTTCATTTTTTTCATACTGTACGTTGATAAGGTTTCAGTCCCATAAAGCCACCATCAGGTCAGCAGTCAAGAGACTGAACGATTTCTTATTCAGGTTTTCCTCAACTTTACTTGATATATGTATTGATGAATCTGTAATTCAAACCAGAAACCTATTACAAATTACACTTCATTCCAAATGAAAACCCTGCCGATTATCCATAACCCCCTCTCTCCCCCAAAAAATGAAGTCAACGTGCAACATGGCGTCCAGGGACATCTACAGACGAACGTATGCTAGGCGTAAACTGAACACTGCAATATAGCCCCTTGGGGCTGAAGCCCCAATTAAGTTGGCTAAAAATTAAGGCATTGAATGCCACATGATCAGAGGAATGGTGAGGCAGATTGTATGCCTTGAATGCCCCACCCTGATGATGGAAATATGAAGGCTGTATCGAGATAACATTGTTTTAGGACTCACCTCCTGGCGGCCATATTTTGAACTTGTATGACCTGAATTTAAATACAGTCGTGCCCCATATACTGTCCCCCTCTATAATGCCAACCTCACTTTTTCAAAATAACCAATCTGCCATAAATCAATGTATTTGAATTATATTTAACGCTGTTGCTGCTGCAACGGTACCGTCGCCGATTTTTTTTCTCTTAAAGTACTGACGCCTGATTGGTTGATAAGCGCAACGAGCGCTACCGGCGACGGACCGGCGCAAAAGCAACGGCGAAGGGTTAGGGTTAGGGTTAGGGTTAGGGTTAGGGTCGCCGAGGGTTATTATTCGCCGATAGATGGCGCTGGCATCACTACCGTGACTTTAAGAGAAAAAAAATCGGCGACGGTACCGTTGCAGCAGCAACAGCCTATATTTAAACCCCTTTATAACGCCAAACTCTCTATAATGCCCAAATCAAAATATCCCAATGTGGGCGGTATATAGGGGCATGACTGTACATAGGAATGTACCTAAGACCATGCTTCACCATGACTCCATATAAACCAGCGGTAGCTTAGTTCATGAAGTATGTATGCAAAATGTTTGCAAATTTTACCCCCCATGTACGTACTATGTACATAGGAGAAAATGACTAATTTTTACCCCTCCCCCTATATTGCATACATACTTTATGAACGCTCCCTTATAAGCTTCACCCGGAGGTTGAAAATTAAGCATAATTTGCATACCAAATAAAGGAATGACCCCGATTGGACAGGAATCAAATCAGCCATATAGAGGAGATGACCAAGATTATCAAGATTATCTTAACTTACCGATGCTGAGGACACCTGGTTAGACCTTTTGGACGGCGTTCAAACATCTGGAAAAAATTAGGAGGCACATGTTTCAATTAACTTAAACATTTTCACAACCGAGTATGTTTTTCACCCAATTGAGTGGAAGAAATAGTCATAAGAAATAATGTCAACCCACTCATGGGCCATCGTGAAACATCGATACAGTGAGATTGTATACAATAAAATATCTGATATAACAAAGGCTACATCTAAACGATACGCCGTTAACCTGAGACAACTATCTCAGGTTATTTACTCCCCTCTCCAGGGACAGCAGTTTTGTTATCGCACCTAAACGAATTGAGGTTAGCAAGCTTTGATGTTACATGTATAGCTTTAATGTATGTTAACATAGCTTTAATGTATGTTACATGTAAAGCAAGCTTTACATGTATAGTAATCAAACAATAAGAAGCTACATGTATTGCCACCTATCTACAGAGCAGATAACTAAAACTTTTTAAACCTCAGGTAAAATTCGCCCGTATAGTCTACACAACGTTTTGCTTACCCCCTCCTCTCACAAGGTTAATGCTAACCAGAGATAACTTGTCTCGGGTGGATGCACTTAACCCGAGAAAACCTCCATCGTGTAGCTAGACGGTGCTAAAGAAACTATTTTGTCCGAGCCTGATTTTATCAACAGATGTTAAGCAATATGTCTATTTATCATGGCATCAGATCAGAGTTGGCCATCTATATGACAGGCCATAACACAAGATTGGAAGAAGAATTATTTCCACAATTGCCACAATATTGATGCACAAAGCGCGGGAAAGTAAATCACTCGGTAGCTAGTCACATAGCACAGTCAATTGTTCGCTGTCTTCATGAAGCTTGGATGTGGTGAAACATGCATCTAAGTAACTTTCGACCTGAAACCACATACCTGACATATCGATGTCGAGAATCGCATCAGGGTCTGAAAATGTGAAAAAATAGGCACATTTTAACACTATGCACACAACAAAATTTCTCTCACTTATAAATAGCCTTAAAGCAAATGGAAAATGTTTAGTCTGGGGGCGTGGTGGCTAAGCGGTTAAGACGTTTGGTATTCACATACTGGTCCCATCAATCCAAGGATCGTGGTTCTTAATTAAGAATAATATAGGACCTAGCTTGATACATTTCAATGAACCCACGGTGGTTAATAGGGACACACCATACTGCAAACAGAATACCAATTAAGATATGTTTAGAGTTGATCAGACAGGCATTACATGGACATGTGGTGCTTATATACTTGCTTGTACATAGACCACTATGAGGTACAACTTGTCCATGTAACCTACCCGAATGATTTCCAAATCACAGAATCTTAATGACTTTTGGTCACCATGCTGGGCGACTTATCTGCGCTCATAAAGCTACTACTAGTCCAGAATTATTGTCGTGTTTTTAACAATTATTGGGGAATTCATTGTGCATAGCTGTGATTATTGTATCAAGTAGCTTTATCAACAAAGGCTCCACCATTGAATAATATACTTACTTCTTTCATTTGTCACACTTTGCGACGGGCCTAAAAATTAACGAAGAGTTCATATAGTTATTCAAAACGCATTACATGAAGGTCGTGGCAAATATAGCTTTGCGGCTTGCCATACTTATTTTCACTAAATTCAGGGAATTATCCGAATCAAAATTTTATCAATCCTACATTATACATAATTTGACTGGAAAAGTGCAAAATAGATTGAATAACAGCCTATACTACATCGTACATTTGGGACCGGTGCACAGTAGCGTGAGCGATTGCATCCCCATTATATTTTG